CAATTCCACTCCTGGCCTCATTGCAGCCTTGTTGCAAAAATGAACAAGCGAAGTAAGGTACGAGTGACAGCCCTTGACATCAAGACTGCATTCGACCTCCAGAATTTTGTTGATTTTGTACATGTTTGAAACAAGTCTGTAATGAGGTCAGGCCCTGGCAGAACCCAAACTGAGCGTCACTGAGCAGGTTGTTCCTGAGTAAGTGTTGCTTGATAGAATTATTGATCACACCTTCATCACTTTACTGTTAATTGAGTGTAGACTGATTGGGCAGTAATTGGTCAGGTTGAATTTATCCTGCTCTTTGTTTGCAGGACATAACTGGGCAATTTTCCACATTGATGTGTAGATGCCAGTGTTGCAGTTGTACTAGAATAGCATGGCTAGGGGAGTGGCAAGTTCTGGAGCACAGGTCTTCAGCATTATTTCTGAAATGTTATCAGACCCCTCAGCCTTTGTACTATGCAGTGTCTCCAACCATTTCTTGATATCACAAGAAGTGAAATACTTGGCTGAAGACTGGTGTTTGATATGCTGAGCCCAAATGGAGGATGCTAAGATGGATCATCCACTTCTGGCTAAAAGATTTAGACGAATGTTTCAGCCTTATCTCTTGTACTTATGTGCTGGGCTTTTCCAGTGAAATATTTAATTGTCCACCACCGTTCACAACTGGTGGTGGCAGGATTGTGGACGTTAGACCCAATCAGTTTATTGTGGGATCGCTTATCTCTGCTTATTGCTTACTGCTTATGCTGTTTGGAATCTAAGTAGTCCTGTCTGGTAGCTTCACCAGACTGACATTTCTTTTTAAAATTGAATTTTAAAATGCATGCCTGGTGCTGCTTCTAGCATAACCTCCTGCACTCTCCAATGAACCAGGGTTGATTCCCTGGCTTGATGGTTATGGTGGAGTAGCGGATATGCTCAGCCATGAGGTTACAGATTGTGTTGGAGTACAATTCTGCTGCTGCTGATGGCCCACAGTGCATCATGGATGCCTAGCCTTGAGTTGATAGGTCTGTTTGAAGTCTGTTTCATTTAGCGCAGTGATAGTGCCATGAAGGATGGCATTCTCACTGTGAAGGTGGGACTTCATTTCCACAAGGCCTGTGTGGTGGTCACTCTAACCGATACTCATGGGTAGCAACAGATTGGTGAAGATGAAGTCAAGGATATTTCTCCCCCTTGTTGCTTTCCTCACCACCTGTAGGTAGTGTAACAGCTATGTCCTTTAGGACCTGACCAGCTCGATCAGTAGTACTGCTACTGCACTTGTGACTTTCAGTGCTTCCTCTAAGTTTTGTTCAATGTGGAGGAGTATTAATTCATCAGCTGAGGGAGGATGATATGTGGTAATCAGCAGGAGGTTTCCTTAACTTGAAACCATGAGACTTCATGGGTCCAGAGTCAATGTTGAGGACTCCTAGGGCAACCCACTCCAACTGTATACTACAGTGCTGCCACCTCTGCTGGGTCTGTCCTGTTGATGGGACAGGACATATCCGGGGATAGTGATGGTGTTTTCTGTAGGATATGATTCCATGAGTATGTCTATGTTGTTTAACTGGTCTGTGAGACGACTGTGCCAAATTTGACACGAGCCCCCTGATGTTATTAAAGAATTTGCTGGGTTGACAGGGCTGTTTTTTCCATTGTCGTTTGATACAACTGAATGACTTGCTCAGCTATTTCAGAAGCAACCACATTGCTGTGTTACTGGGTCCACTGCTCTGGAGTCATATGTAGGCCAGATCAGGTGAGGATCACAGACATTAGTGAACCAGATGTGTTTTTCACAACAATCCAATCTGTGGTTTTATGGACTTCAATAGCTCTGAAGGTGAAGAGTCTGTGTCCAAGAGCTGCCAGCCATTTTTCATGTCTTAGAAGTGCAACCAGGAGCAATGATCACTGCTGGAAGTATATCAGTTTCCAGAGCAGTAGTGAGGAGAAAATCTAAGATTACAGCCAAATAGGCTGAGTTTGTCAGTCAGGCAGAAAGGCTGCAGAGACTGGAGAATAGATTGAAATGGAGGGAAAGGATTATTTCAGTAAAGATGTCCATGGCCATCAGAGTCTACACTCAATGAAGCACAGAATATTTGATCAGGAAGGACACCTCCATTCGTTTTGAATGGGTGGCCTCCCTGTATAGTGTATGGATCCCCCTTGATAGTAGTGGCCATTAGGTGGCCATTGAAGATCTTAGTTGGTGTCTGAGCAGAAATCTCCCGCTCCTGACTTGGAGCAGAATGAGGAGAGTGACAGGTTCTCTAACCTGTGCCTTCCCATCGAATTCTATCACCCTGCCTCAGTGTCCCCTGTCCCCCTTGCCTCACAGCCAAAGTGGGGCCAGGATTTGGAATTCTTCCGCAAGTGACAACTGATACCAGATCCATTGTTGATCTGCAGTCCAAGAGTGATCAGCTTTTGGTCACTAACTGTATTCCTGAGTATGAGCCAAAAACAAAGGTCTAGAAAAGAAAGCTTCCAGCTACCTGCCAATTCAACAAACCATTGTGTTCCCACACCAACATTTTTGTCTTCATTTAGAGCCTTAACACCTCCTTCCATGTCCTTTGTCCATCTCCACACTCCAAGTCCTGCATGTCATGGGCTGCTCATAGCACAGCCAACTCCTTTTCACCTATTTATGGTCCCTATTATCAACTTTGCTTTTTCTCTGGCTCACTATTAGACAAAGGGATCCCTTTCTGTGCCTAACTGCTGTTTTCTCTCTCTGGGCTCCATCTCCA